TTGGTTCCTACTAATCTTTCTAATATAAATTGATTTTTCATACCTCTGTCCCTAACACACACACACACACACACACACACACACCTTCTCAACAAGTGGGAATTAGAAGCTCTAGTTTGCTACAGTAATACACTCAGGTAGTCAATTTGGGATCTGAAATATTGGAGAGTTGAAGAGGGCTCTGGCATCTTCTGATCCTGTGTTTTTTTAACATTCAGTGCACTTGAATTAGAATCCGTTGAGGAGCTTCAATAATGCAGTGCCCGGGCTGCACCCCAGGCTGATTATATCAGAGGCAAGCATCCGTATTGTTAAAGCTCCACACGAGGTCCCACTGATCCCAGTGTGTCCAAGGTTGAGACTCATTGTTTTGGTCCAGTCTTCCTGTTCCAAAGTGAGGTAATGGGCTCAGTTAGGGTCACCCAACCAGGATCAAGATCCAGGACCCCCGGCCCCAGTTACCATGCACGGATGGAGCCCACTGTTGCATGGAGTTAGTTAGCCCTCTAGCAGAATAGCTGGACCGGAGATTCCCTCCCAGCACAGGGCAGGAGGCAGATGCCCAGCTCGGTGATTGGATGAGTGTGGGCGACTCAGGGATCCTGTCCTGTGCTGCTTAAGGATCACAAATCAAGACTCACTTTCCTCTTGGGAGTCTCTAGGGCAGCCAAGGACTTCTGAGTAATCCCTAGACGTTCAGTCAACGGAGTCACCAATCTCTCTGGAGAATCTGTTGGGGGCGTTACAGAGTGCCCAGGGCTGAGCTGTGGGGAGCCCTGCTCTCCTCCTTTGTGGTTATGGGGCTTTGGACCAATCACCCATTCAGAGTTCTTAGAAGCTAAGTGTCTTGAGGTCAATCCTTTGGTCCCCTTTCCCAGCAGCTGCTGCCACAGTCATTTTGGGGGGAGGGAGGAGTAGGTTTGTCCCAGGGCTCAGTGGACCTCATCTGTAAGGTGGGGATAATAATCCTAGCTGGCCTTCCATACCCACCTTGGAGAATTATTGTGAGGAACCCGAAGGGCCTACATGAATTCGGAAAAGCAGAAAGCAGGTTACACGGAGGACCAATGCAGGCCCACCCCTCCCCCACGGTCGCAGAAGACATGCCTATAAGTAAAATGGAAATTTACCTCCCAAATATTCCTCTCCTCTCCCCCCCTCCCTGGGTTCTAAGTTTCCAGCTCGCACTGGGCAGGCAGAGGGAGAGGGAGAGGGAGAGGGAGAGGGAGAGGGAGAGGGAGAGGGAGAGGGAGGAGAGTAAACTGCTTACTCCCACGACCATGTTTGCCAGATGCCCCTTTGTGAGCCCTGCCCAGGGCATGACTGCCCCAGCGAGGGTCAGAGTGGATGGAGCAGTGGGAGGTGGGGAGGTGGAGGGAGGAAGCCCAGATCAGCCGCTTCCTCCCGCAAGGGAAGTCAAACTCTTCCTCTTGTGCGCGTCTCCGTGGCCCCTGGGCTGGCAGCGCTGGTTTCTGGGGTGGGCGGTGGGGGAGGGAGGGGGGAGAGGGAGGACAGCAGGAAGCAGTCTTGCTCCCCAAGGCATAGGCAAGTTTGCTGTCTTAGGAGGTGGCTTTCTGGTTAGAGGCGGCAGTGGTTAGCAGCCCCCTCCCAGAGCTCTGGGGCCTGCAAGCCCGCGGGGAAGGGAGAGGGAGAGGAGAAAGCTGGGGGAGCTCAGCCCACCCAGCAGGCTCCTCGGAGCTCAGAGGAACCTGCTTGACTTCCGGAAAGCTGGGCCTGCCTCTGGGCGGGGAGGAGGTCAGGGCGCCGCAGCGGGTCCCCGCGCCGCCTACCCTGCCCCGCCCTGCCGCCTGGGGTTTGCCCAGGCTCTTCGGAGCACAGAACTTACAGTAAGTGTTGTCACCAGTGGAAACTCTCAGAGGGGGCGAGGAAAAGGGCTAGAGGAAGGGACCAGCGCTCCAGGCCCCCCAGTTCCCGTCTTACCAACACCCCCTCCACCCCTCCGGGTCTACGTGCTGTTTTGTCTTCCCTTTCGGGAAAGAGGGGGTGCCCTGCCTCTGGGACGTGCCTGGGAACCAACCACTCAAATGGTAATCCAGCCACACCTTGCAGGAGCAGCAGCCAGGGGCTCTGGCTCTTGGCATCCCACCCCACTCCCCACCCCACTTTAGAAATAGGGGTTTCCTTTGTCCTTACCTAGGCACATTTTCTAGCTCAGAGCCACCCACCGGAAATGCCAGGCTGAAGCTGTGCATGATCACGTCCGCCGATTATGAATGGCAGGTGCCAGGCGCAGGGTGAGGGCAGTTAGCCATGTAGCTAGCTCGTTCACCAGACTGCAGCTCATGCTCCCAGTGTGTTATTGAAGGCAAGCTTTCAGTGTCAAGTAATCTTACCTCTCCCCATTGCCCATCATGATTTTGAGTTAACTTCTAGTCCAGCAGCCAATCAGTCAACAAACATTTGAATTCATATGTACTGTGTGCAGGTACTTCATATGTGCTTGAATAATTAAAACAAGTTTGATATCACATTTAACTGGTATTTTCAAACTTTGATTATTAGAATGACATAGGGCACTTCTTTTTTTTTAATGTATATATTTTTTATTATTTTTTAAAAATATATTTTATTGATTTTCCACAGAGAGGAAAGGAGAGAGATAGAGAGCCAGAAATGTCAATGAGAGAGAAACTCAGACCAGCTGCCTCCTGCACACCCCCCACCGTGATGTGCCCGCAATCAATGTACATGCCCTTCACCGGAATCAAACCTGGGACCCTTCAGTCTGCAGACCGACGCTCTATCCACTGAGCCAAACCGGTTTCGGCTAGGGCATTTCTTAAAACTCAGATTTCCTAGCCCTGGCTGGGTAGATCAGTTGTTTGGAGTGTCTTCCCAATATTTGCATATTTGATCTCTGGTCAGGGCACATACAAGAATCAGCAAATGATAGTAAAAACAAGTGGAACAACAAACTATATCTGTCTGTCTTTCTGTCTGTCTCTCTTTCTCTCCCCCCCCCCCCCCCCGCCTTCCTCTCTCTCAAATCAATAAGTTAAAAAAAAAAAATAATGTCTTTTTTAAAAAGTCAGATTTCCTGAATTCACCTCAAGCCTCAAACCCTCTGAGTTTAAACCTCGAGATTTCCAGGAAGCACCTGAAACTATATTTTTCACAAGCCCTCTAATTAATTCTAATGACATGGTAGGTTTGGAAAATGCTGACCCAAATCACACAAAACTAGCACGATAAGGCCTCGATGCCCAATATTAGTTTGCTTTTTTAACTGAAATTACAATTTATTTGCATCTTCGGTGCCACTTCCCCTTCCTCTGCGGGCACCAATGTAATGGGAGGGGTCTGTTTCACTGAATCAAGGTTTGTGACCTGCAAAAATCACATTGGAAATGAAATTTCCCCTGAGTTTTCTGAAGGTGGGATTGTTTTCCAGCAAATGCTAATTCCAGAGTGTCACTGTTGATTAATTAATAATGTGATCAGTAAGCAGCACTCTTTATCCTGAGTTTTCCTGATCAGCACGTATCTGATGGTCCATCTGAGCAACAGGGGAAAGGTGTTCCTGGAAAAAAGGAACCACAGGGGCGTGGGGCACACCCAGAATGCTGTGTAACAGGCTTTGGGTGAGCAGAACTGAGCAAAAACGAACACGGTGAATAGTGGCCATTCAATAGCCTGGGTGAAACTGACAGTTCACCAGGGATTACCATTCACAACCGAAAAATACATGGGAGGGTACTCAGAGACTCAGGGTAAACCCACTTATTTTCAGATTTATTATACAGGGGCTCAGGGCGTCAGTTCTCCAGATCCTGAGTGAGTGGCTATGGAGGAAGCTTTCCCCTTATGCCCTTCGGTTTCTTTGTTTCCTAACAACCAGGCTGTTGTGGTGGGCTCCCACAGCCCCTCCTGAGTCCACTAGCATGGAGACGGTAGGTCGTGTCTACTAGTAAATGCCTGGCCTGGCTGGTGCTAGTGACCTCCCTCCAGCTAAGCTGCTACATTCTTTGTCTATGGCCCCTTTGTAAACTGGGAATCATTAGGAAAACAGGTCTTGCTGGACCAGATTGTTAAGAAAGGGGCAGTGACTTAATTATAGGCTATCAAGAATGTACATTAGGTTACTGGCACGGATTCAGATTGCTAAGACTCCCCCCCCCCCCCCCCCCCGCCCCAAATGTCTTATATTCCCCATCAATAAGACTAAATGCAAATACTGGGACCTCTTGGAAAAAAACCCTATATAATAAGAGAGGAATATGCTAATTACCATTATGCCATGAGGTGTAACGACTGACCGCACAATGTGATTGGATTACGGATCTGCTGGAGGGTGGGGCATGAACTACAAGGGGGTGGCGGAGAGCTACAGGAGGGGGCAGGGCAGCAAGCTATGAGGTGGGGACGGGTAAGGGAAGGGGGAGCTACAGGAGGGCGGCCGAGAGCTACTGGCGCACGGATTCGTGCACAGAGCTACTAGTACAGTATAACAGAGAGTGAAAAAGAGTGAAATCAGCATCAGCTGTTCTCATGAACTCTTTTCCACTTTTTCAGGCTCTGGCCTGCCAGCCGGTTTCCATTGACATACACTTGCCACTCTCAACCCATATGCACACTCGTAGAGATCCATGTACATATATGCACAAAGGAGCACACTCACACCCAAATTCACATGCACCTTCACACATACACCCCCTACTTGGCTGGAACCATATGAAACTGCCATTCTTATAGGTCAAAACAGACAATTATCAGCAACTTCAAGAGGTTCAACCTGATACCTATGCATACACATGCACATACTATATACACACGTGCTTATACAATACAATACACACATACAGCACACTACAAACATATGCACAAACGTGCACCCACACACATGTGCAAATTCCCCGATGCCCTGCCCCACGGATGTGCCTGTCAATCGAATCTGGCTCCTCCTGACAGTTCCCCACACCTCACACCTTGGGGCCTGGCCCGACATTAATGTCCAGTGCTGATCTCTCCCCTCTCCGCAGGAGAGTGAAGACCTGGAGAAACAGAACACCGCTCTGCGCAAGGAGATCAAGCAGCTCACAGAGGAGATGAAGTACTTCACGTCGGTGCTCAGCAGCCACGAGCCCCTGTGCTCCGTGCTGGCCGCCAGCGCGCCCTCGCCCCCCGAGGTGGTGTATAGCGCCCACGCCTTCCACCAGCCTCACGTCAGCTCCCCGCGCTTCCAGCCCTGAGCTTGTCCAGAGATGGGGGGAGAGCAGAGCCGACACCCCCAGGCCCCGGCTGCTCCGCAGGCCTCAGGAGGGACACACAGACTGTGGCCAGGTGGCCCTCGTCCCCCAGAGGCCTCTCTCCACCTGGAGATGCGGAGGCAGGGGCCTTGACAAGGACTGAACCCAGGACTGGAGCAGGAAGTGGGTGAGGCCTCCTGGCGGGGTGGCAGCCCCTCAGCGCGTGCTGGACACCCATGCTGGGTGGGAGGCCCAACCCAGAGCTGTCCCGGGTACGACGCACAAGCACCACAGCACAAGAGAGAGGAAGCAGGGAAAGGTTATTTTTCTAAATAAATGTCTTAAAAAAGAAACCCGTTTGGCAAGGCTGTTTCCCTGCAAACCTTAAACTCTGTGGGGCTGGGGCCTTTTTTGGTTCTTGGCCTTCAGAGCCCTTAAAGCTCTGGAGACCCCGCTACGATCTCTCCTTTTCCACTGTGTTAACCTACTGGGTGAGCTGGGGTTTTCAAAGACTCTTCCATCCTCCCTCAGGCCATCTTCTTGATTTTCCTCCCCACATCACCTCCCCAGCGCCTCCCCTTCCCTTCCTCCTGGCCCCAAGCTTTCTAGATTGTCAGTGGGTCATTCTTTCATCACGAAGAAGGACGAGGGCAAGATGCCATTCATAGCAACCGTCATTCCGGTCGATGCTCCCCCATCCCACCCATCCACACGATGACACTTCCTCGGCTCCGTCCAGCAGCCTGCCCTGGCTGTGCGGTGTGCCATCACGGTGCCAGCCCCCGGTAACACAAGGGCAACCCCTCATGGAAGGCAGTGCTTTCCTCATGCCTTCCTGGGCAACATGTGGCTTAGGGTCACAGACACGTTCCTGCTGAAGCCCTCCCCCGGAGCCGTGACAGAGCACACGCTGGCCTGCCTCCATGAGGCTCCGCAGGCCCCCGCTTTGAGCACAGTTGGAGGGTAACACAGGGTTGCCTTCAGAACTTCAAATTCACTGTATTGACTGAGCCTGAAACCAGTGTGCTCCAGTTCCCCTGCTCCAGTGTCCCCCAGCTCCTCAGAGACCTCCAGGCCAAGTGACCACTGGCCTGCATGCTCCACACCCCTGCCCAAGAGCAATGGCAGGGACCCCCACACAGCCCCTGCTGAGCCAGCTGGGGACAAAACCCACAGGGAGGCGCCTGATTCAGCCCCTTCAGCAGCTACCCTCTGTCTCATCCCTTGATCCTTCAAAGGCACGGCCACTGCCCGCTGTCTCCCTGCCGGCCGCTGTCTGGGATGTGGTGACCAGATGGAAACGAGGGGAGCAGGGCGGGGGGTTCCTGTGCCAGAACCTCCTCAACCAGGATCAACAGTTCTGGTTGGTTGGAGGCAAGGTCTCAACTCTAGACCCTCTCCTGCCCAAATCTCCCTGCCTCATGGAATGATGCCAGCGTTAAGCTAGTGGAATGATTTTCAACCGGTGTGCCATGAGAATTTTTAAAACATGCAATCCCTGACTATTCAGTCAGGGGCGACGACCTCTTTTCCCTTAGATTGTCAAATAAAAAAATGACAACAGCCAACACAACAATAGCCATCTGGTGTGAATGCATGAAAATTATACCTGGTGGGTGTTTGTTTTTGTTTTTTTGTTTTTGTTTTTGTCAGATATTTTCTGTTGTGCCACAGACTTTTAGTAATTAGTTTATGGGATGAGAGAGGTTGAAAATCTCTGGGCTGGTGTGATTATCACTAACCTCGGCAGAGGCCTGGAGACGCGGACCTGCGTGTGGCGTATCTATGGGAGGAGTCCAATTCAAGGACCTTCGAAGGCACATTGCCACTGTTGGGCCCCTCATCCCCAAAGCTGATGCCCAGGGATGCCCAGTGTGGGGAACTGGGCTCAGAGCCTGTGGGAGACAGCCCAGAAGACCTACCCCAGGGATCAGCATTGCTTCCAATGCAGAATCTGGCATTTTAGCCATTGGTCTCCCAACAAAACTTGGTGAATGGGGTCCTTCTCCCAGTTAATGGACTCAGTGTAGAAGAGGGTGTGTGATGAAGGGCTGTGACAAGCAGGATCTCTCCCATCCATTTCCCTCAGGGCCTGGTTTCGGTAACTAACCAGGTGGCTCTTTCCCTATGTTCATATGCAGATCAAAGAAGCCAGTGGTCACCTCAGATGTTGCATGCAGCAAAAATAATTTGTTTTTGTTTTTGTTTTTCACAGTCTTAAGAACTAGAACTTTAGGCTCTGCTTTCTCCCTCCCTCTCTCTCTCTCTTTCTCTTTCTCTCTCTCTCTCTTTTTTTTGTTATTTCTTTTTTTCTTCTTTTTTTTTATTAAATATATTTTATTGATTTTTTACAGAGAGGAAGGGAGAGAGATAGAGAGCTAGAAATGTCGATGAGAGAGAAACATCGACCATCTGCCTCTTGCACATCCCTACTGGGGATGTGCCCACAACCAAGGCACATGCCCTTGACGGGAATCGAACCTGGGACCTTTCAGTCCGCAGACTGACGCTCTACCACTGAGCCAAACCGGTTTCGGCTAGGCTCTCCTTTCTCTACAGCTAGCCCTGCCAGGGCCTGGCCTCTCGGGAGGCTGGGGCAGACTTGCTTCCAATCAGAGATTTTTCTCCCCACCCCTGCTCTCGAACTGTGATTTCCCCCCAGAAACCCCCACAAAAGACACATGACCTAGGCTGAGCATCTTCTGAATGACATTAAGGGCCAGAACTCACGTGTGCTATTCCCATCTCTCAGCAAGGACTTCTCTTCCCCTTTTAGTCTCCACTTTCTAATGACACCAGGCAGTTCTACTTCTCCTTTCTGATCAGCCTGGTAGAGCCAGCAGAGGGCTGAGCCTAGGGTAAGTGCTAATGCTGATTTCATCTACACACAGGGGAATTGGAGGGGCCGTTACGAATAGACTTCAACATCCAGAGTTTTGCTATGGATGACCCACCCACCAGGTTCTGTCCTAGCCTCCTTACTCATGACAGGAATAGCTCCCTCCTGCTGATGGGCCATTGACTTACACTCAAATGTCTCTAGGGCCCAGGCAGGCACTGTAAATACACGAGGCTCACTAGTCCTAGGACAATTTGGAGTGGTGGGGAGTGTGGCAAACTGAGGAGTGAGCGGTTATCTTTCTAAAGCAAGCAGCTGTCCCTTATTGCCATGTGGAATCCAGGCCCAGTGTAACCATACCTTTCATTTGTCAAGAAAAGCCCAAATTAGAATTTCTGCATGAAATCCTCCAACTTCTAAAACACTCTGCAAACCAAACAAAATATATTTGTAGAGTAGGTTTACCCCTAAAATTTGCAGGAACTGGGGCAAGAATACAAACAAAGGCCAAATACCATATATCTAAATGTTTGCACATTATAAATGAAGCTTACAAAATGTATTAAATATTTTAAACAAAATATACTATTTTCTGCTACCTTGAAAGATATCTATATACATAAAAGGCTAATATGCAAAGTTTCCCCTCTGGAGTTCTACTCCTGGGAGACCAGGAGTTTGATTGCTCACTATGACGTGTGCTGACCACCAGGGACTGGCAAGGAATGAAGGAAGGCCCTGGCAGGCAGCCAGAAGGCCCCAATCAGCCCTGATCTCTGGCCAGGCATAGGGACTCTATCTGTGCACAAATTTCATGCACTGGGCCTCTAGCATCTTCCTAACAACCTGGAAGGCAGGTTTTGAATTTAGAATTCTTCCATGCTTCAGAATGTTGTACTATCAGAGAGAGAAATAGCCCCAGACTTCAGCCTGTCCTCTTCTTGTCTTCTCCCTGGCTCCTCCTTGTGTTTACATTGGTAAACAATCAGCCTGCAAAATGGGGGTCCATGCACACTCTCCCGCAGAGCCAACCATCCCTGGGCCACCCCTTGGGTCCATGGGTGGACATACCAGTAGTCTGGTCTACCTCGGAGAAGGAGAAAGGGGACTACGGCTCCTAGGAGCCAGCTCAGGGCCACTTGGACAGGGGTTTTTGGTGTCCTGAGTGTGTGAGGCTTTGGGTGGGCATGTACCCCTGGTTCTAAGGACTCCTTGCCCCATGGGAAGGGGTATAGTAGGAGGAGGGCCACTGCCAGCGCCTGTAAGATGGGGGGTCTAGAACAGGAACCTCTTTGCCCAATCTGAGGGTGGCACTGCAGAAGTCTGCCAGTCTGCAGCCCTGATCTAGGTCAACACTGTCTCCCTGGAAAGCCCAGGTGGTGTGTGGCAAGAAATGGTACACGACTGCGTCATCCTTATCTGTTGCTTTGAGGTGAATGCTCCTGGGGAATGTTTGTTTCCTCACCTCCCATCCTTGGTGTCTATCTCTTGCTAGTAGTATTATTCCCTGAATTAATGTCAAAGCAAATTACAGGAAAGCCAGATTTTTAGTCTTCAGGTTGAGAAGTGTGGGTGGGGAGAGAAAGGGAGGCAAAGTCAACTTAAAGGTCACGGGGTTGCCATCTACTGGATCCAAACGTACCAGCAGTGTTTGTTGATATCTCCAGCCAATGTCCCGGTTGTGACTGTGGCTTTACAGTCATGGAGGTGAGCCAGCTGGGTGCTCCACTTCTTTCCAGACAGATAGTCTGTCTGTCTGTCTGTCTGTCTGTCTCTCTCTCTCTGCATCCCTTGCCTCTTTCCACCTCACATGTTTCAGTGGCCAACGCTGCTCAGGAATCCCAAAGGGGGAGAGGGCTGGTGAACTAGGACAACACTAAGGTGGTAGAGATGTAATCATCTTTCATTTCTGCCCTAGGGGACTGGCATTTTAAGAGGCACCTTGGCAGAGAATTGCCTGACACAAAGGAATGAGGGCCTAACAGTGGCATTTTCGGCTTTGTAACAAGTGTGGAGAGGAGATGTTTAATGGAACTCTTGCTATGTGGATGACTGGCTTCTACACTGGCCCAGTGTGGATTCCAGGGGAATGGAAGGTGAGGTTGGGAAGGGAAGAGGGACATATGCCTCCTAAAAGTCTTGCTTTTCAACTGCTTGATATGTGATATAATTTATTTACTGCCAGGAATACAGTCTAAATACTTGATCCTGGTTTAAAGAATCTACCAGCAGGCAGAAATAAGCCCCTTGGGGGAATTCACTAGGGAAATTTGCACAAACAAATTTTATTGCCGCCTGGGAGATCTGTCTGGCTTCTTCTGGTAAATTACTGGTGAGAGGCTGCTGAGCTTGTCGCTGTACCTAGAAACCAAAGTTAAGAGCAGAGACTCACAACGGACTTCTCAAAGCCCTTCTCCGCCCCCCCCCCCCCTTCTTTTTTCTTGCTTCAGAATCCCCACCGAGTCTAGGATGGCAATGTGGCCAGATTAACAGATTGCATTTCTTTTTTAAAAATTTTTTAAAAAATATATATTTTATTGATTTTTTACAGAGAGGAAGGGAGAGAGATAGAGAGCTAGAAATGTCGATGAGAGAGAAACATCGACCAGCTGCCTCCTGCACACCCCCCACCAGGGATGTGCCCGCTACCAAGGCACATGCCCTTGACCGGAATCAAACTCGGGACCTTTCAGTCTGCAGGCCGATGCTCTACCACTGAGCCAAACCAGTTTCGGCACAGATTGCATTTCTTAGACTCCTTTGCAGCTAGGAATGGCCATGTGACACAGGCCAGTGAGATATAAGCAGAAATTGCTGGGTAGGGCTTATGGGGAAGTTCTTTAAAAGGTGGGCCCATTGCGTCCAGCTGGCATGGCTCAGTGGTTGAGCATCGACCTATGCAGCAGGAGATCACAGTTCGATTCCCAGTCAGGGCACATGCCTGGGTTATGGCTCAGTCCTCAGTGTGGGGCATTTGGGAGGCAGCTGATCAATGATTCTCTCTCATCATTGATGTTTCTCTCTGTCTCTCCCTCTCCCTTTCTCTCTGAAATCAATAATATATATATATATATATATATATATATATATATATATATATATATATTTTTTTTTTTTTTTTTTTTATTTATTTTTTTTTTTTTAAGATGGGGCCTTTTCACTTGGCACATGCCGGTCTCCTTCTTTGTGTCAGGAAGGCAGGTGAGATGTTGGAGGTGGCGCAACCACTTCAGGAGCCCGTGTATAAGGAGGAAAAGAGGCGCTGGGTGCCGGGCAATGCTGCAGAAATGTGATGGTACCAGCTGGGGAAGGCCTGCCTCTGGGTTTCTGTTAAGTGAAAGTGGAAAAGAGTTTATTTGGTTAAGCTGCTATGTATTGCACTGTTGGGTGCTGCTTACTAATTCTGCCTAACTCAAAGGCCAAGAGAGCAAACAGCTGAACAGGGAATTGAAACTATTCCCCCAAACTCAGTGGTTCTCAACTGGGAGTGATTTTGTCCCTCAAGAGACACTTGGCAGTGTTGGGTGACATTGTTGGTTGTTACAGCTCGGGAGACAGGTGCTAGTGGCATTTAGTGAATAGTGACAATGGATACTGCTACACATCCTCCAGTGCACAGGACCGACTCCACAACAAGGAATTATCCAGCCCCAAGCATCTGTAGTG